ACATTACTTTCCTATCTTTGTTATAAAGGTCATACTTCCATCAGCACCCTCAGGCAGTTGGAAAGCAGAGAGTGTGCCCACAGGTCAGAGATTTGCCTAGGACTGAAAACACCAGTCTGCAGGAAAAATGAACGTTTCATTCTCAGAATAGCTGGTGTGTACGTGTGCACACAGAAGATTTAGCCTGCACCACATATTGTCAGTGAAGAAAAACAACTGGTTTTCTTCAGGAGACTATCTCTTTGATACTGTTTTGTGAATCAAATTTCATATGGATTTGAAATCCTTAATGTGAATTTATGGAGACACACTGAACAAGTTCATGTCTTCAGCTCATTTAACCTTCTACTGGGGTTTGTAAAATGAGTTTATCAAGCATGATATGATGTCTAAATGCCTTTTAAACATTTTTAAAAGTTATGTCAGTCGCCAATATGTTTAAAAAAGTGAGATACGGAAATCAAGTTCTCTGAAGTTAGGAAATGACAGAATTTAAATTCAGTGTAACCTGAATTTTAACACTTTAAACTGCATGCAGAAACTGTTTCATGTCTGAGACTTTCAAATTCAGTCTCCTGATAGCACTGATTCCCAGCAACCTATGCTCTTCTCTCTTTCTCAGAGTGGTGATGCAGGCTTTTAAGTGACCTCCAGCAATAATTCTAGATTTACTTTATGCTTGTTTTCTTTCATATTATCACAGGCATTTTTTTAAATTACACCTTCTCTTGTGAGTAAATATTAAGTTCTTTTTCTCTTGTACAGTCATGACTGGGGACCGAAAGTAATACACCATTGTTTATGTGAAATTATAAAATATAGCAGAAAACATAGAACTGGCAACATCAGTTCTCGTGTTTCCTGCATTATCGTTTTATTTTCAAACGTAATGGTATTTTAATATAGATACTTTTTTAGAAATTTGATGGGCAGGTTTTATCATGGTGGAGATGTTAGATGAAAAAAACTATTACAAGGGCATGTGTATTCTCTTATATTGTGAAATAGGACATGATACCTGTGTATACGCTTAGCTCGATCAATAAGGCTGTGTTTGACTTTTGTTCTAAAAAGGGAATACTGCTATCTGATCTTCCTTTTTAAATACTCTAGATTTTTTTTTAAATATCTCCAAAATATAAGCTCTTAATATTTGAATTGAGGTGTGATTTGCTTAATGGGAAGAAATTGAGGAATCTAATAGGATTATATATTTTAAAGATTCCCTGGGAGGCTTATTTTGGTTAATTCCCTCTTTCTCTTCCAACTGCTGTGTCCTGTGAAGGCATTGTGAAGATGCATGATTTTCTTTCAGAGAGGAGAAAAATGGCCAAATGAGATTAGGTTAATGGGTTTCCCTTTATCCAGCTGCAGTCTTCTCAAGAGACTTGATTGATATTTTGCTGTTTTCACATTCTATTACAGTCCTTGCCATTTGAATGTTCACCATTTTAATGTCTTGAATACTCTGTAAATTATAACATAGGTACTCCCACCTTATCTATATACTGATTTTTGCTGGACCTATCAATTTTATCTTTCTTTAATCTGTAACTTTACTAACTACTTAAAAAGTGAAATATAGGACCAATCAAACCTTAAAAATATTTAAAACAAAGCAATGATTTAATCTATTGTCTTTCACAGATAGTATGAGGTTCTATACCCCAGCCCTGTTTTAAATGATGCTGGGAAGATTTGTGTGAACATATTTATCTGCTAGTTTTGTTTTGGTTTTTAGCGAGCTTGGTTTAAATAAATACCTTCTTACTGAGGTGAGACTATTCTCTTATTGTGTACTGTTCTGTTTCTCTGTCCCTGGGATAAAGGAGATATAAATGAAAAGTGAGAGTGTGGAAGAGCCATCATGACCCCTAACTTATGGAATAAGGGTTACTGAGGCAAAAGGGGAGGTAATGGGAGCTAACAGTGTTAAGGATATATGCTGGAGCTGGATTGTCCAGAGAGGAAAGTGGAACAAAGGAAAACTCCAGGAAGAAGAAAGAGAGGGAATGTGAGTGGAAGAAAGAGAAAATTTTCCATTCCTTTCAAGCTTGAGAATAACCCTGCTTACATGCTTTTCTCTTCTTAGCAGTCAGTTCTACCTCGCCTTCTTCCCTTTCCTTTCCCCTTTCTCCTTCCTCTTTTGCCTTTGGAGGGGATGTAAAAAAGAAAAGAAAAAATGAAAAGCGCAGAGGGAAAAGCAAGAGTGTAATTTTCTTCGTTAACTCCAGGACTGTGTAGATTGCTTCCCCTTTCAGGTGATGTGCTTAGTGTTGTTCTGTAATTGCCCACTTGTCTGCATTTTTCATTTTGTCAGTAGTTGTGATGAGATAAAATTGGGAAGAGGGGATGACCTATATAACTGGTTTGAATTCTGTCTGTAAGTCATCATGTTTCTTGTATGTGTAAATGTATTTTGTATAAATTGGAATGTATCATGGGAAGAAGTTGCCAGACAGAACTCAATGAGCACAGAAACTGATTTCATCGTTAAAGCAGTTCAATGTTAGAAATTGCTCACGTACACTAAGAATGAAATGTTCCTGAACGCATGGCCTGGCTTTTTAAGAACAGCAATTTTTTTTTTTATTCATAATCATTCTCGTTCTCTTTTTGGCCCATATTGTGCGGGTTCTTGGGTGGGTTTTTTTAATCAGTGCGGAGAAAGTTGAAAATGCTACTGAATCTGAATATTAGGCTTACCCGAAGTGAACAGCCACAAAAGATATTAGGTGATACAGACTTGAGCCTGAAATACTAAATGAAGTGTGCCTCTTTTGTCGTCAAGAAAAGGTAGGTTTTTGAGGTGAAGGTAAACTGTGAAGCAGTAGAAAATACACCATTAAGTTTAATATCTTATAATTAGTAAGAAAATTATGTCCACCTAGCAGTTTCAGCATTTTCGGAAAACAAATCAACAATATGAACAAGTTGGAGATAATTATTTTTCGTTATACCTCTATTTCTATGGTTTTAATTCAGGAATCCATGTTGGCTCATACTGTGGTTCTGTCCTACTTTAGTAGTCAGGTGGTTGATTTTTTTTCTTCCACATCTTTGATTACACCTCCATAAAAATGAAAGGAGCCTCATCAGATTTTAGTTTGTCTGGGAACTTTTCCTAGCTCTTGAACCTGAATGAATATTTAAGCAACTCATAATGCAACAATTGTTATTCCAAGGGAAAATAAAAGCAATACTCTTCTGAACATCACTGTCACCTGATGGAAAGGTAATGGTACCTCTGCAGAATAGAATAAAATCAAATCCTAATTGTTTTGGTCAATTCGACTTGCCAGCAAGTCATGCTTTAATCTCTGTATAAATTATAAGCCTTTTCTCTGTTCAAATTCCTTTGGGATCGCTGTCTTTGACTTCTGTCTATTTAATGCAGCTCAGCTAGCGAGTGCTTTTGGATAATGTCATGATATTTCCATTAAAGAATTCAAAGTTGGTGAGAAGAAATGTGTCAAGCTGCTGTTATTCAGTCGAGATGAGTTGCAGCATAAGCCTGTGCTTTGGCAAATTCCTCAAGCACTGTAAAGGATGTTAGTGAATAAACTGAGGTGCAGGATCCAAGGACAAAGCTGTTTGCCTTGAGTACCGATCAGGGTAAACTGTAATTCCAATTACACCAGGGTAAACTGTAATTCCAATTTCTGGTGCTGGTGGCTGATGAAGAAGAAGAATATACCAGTGATTGCAGTAGTTTTTGGGAAGGAGTTCAGCATGTAAGGGAAAGACAGAAGTTTTAGCATCAATTATTTTTTTCCGAAAGTTAGGTCATGGGAAAATTATGGATTCATGAAGTTACAGTCTTGGTTTGCTCTTGATTAAGCATCTCCTGCTTTTCCTTTTTTTCTAGTCCTAAATATAGTATACAAAAACATTCTCTATAGTGAGGCTGCTAAGTATTTAGTCTAGCCCCTACTTTACAAAATGTCTAATTTTCTCAAAGACCACTACTCTTTTGATTTTCTCTTTATGCAGGAAATATGAGGAAGCTCATGATATTGTGAAACAGGGTTGAAAATTGCCATCAGTATCAAAAGACTAGAATGTCATTATAATAAAAACATTTAAATCCCTCAAATACTTGTGGAGTTGGGTAGTTTAAACACATAGTTTCAAGTACAGACTAGAAGAAATTATGTACAACAGTTTGAGATGCAGATCGTTCATTGGTTTGTTCAGTCTAAAGGCTCAAAGATTTTAGTATGGGAATTTAAAATTAAAAATGAAAAAATTCTTTTAAAAAAGGTATTTCTAACCACCTTTTGTAAAAGCCCTCCTGAATACATGTATAGGCACCCTAGAGTTCACACAAATCCTGCTATTTATCAATCTGTTTGAATGACCTTGAAATGCTGTCATCCTGACTCCAATCAGCTATATTCCTGGAGAGAAGGGGGAAAGAGCTGGAGGGGACATAGTGGAAAATGCATAAGTAAGAAGGAAAAAAATAAGAAAAATGCTCTTTTCTGGGGAGCTTGAGTTATAAGATTAGATTATAGCTAGCAGAATCAAGGGCACATAGGCATGGCACATGATGATTATGATTTATGGGAGCATTAAAAGGGAAGAAAATCAATATATATTCTAAAAGTTCTGTTTTGCTAAGATTAATCTAAACCCCCTCCTTGGGTTTGTGATGACAGAGGAAGGCTGTGTTGATAAGAACTTTTCCTTTTTTCCCTACCAATAGTTTCAACAACTGTTAATGTACAAATCCAGTTTTAAAAAATGAAGCTTTTGTAGTCTTTCATTTTTAAGTATAAAAGCCAGTAGGTACAATTTGCAATAAATTTGAGGTCAAATGTGACATTAGATAGACATCTTCTACAAATAAACAAAGTTATAATGAAGTACATGACGATACTATTAGCAGGATACAAAACCAAAAGATCAGTCTCTGCACAAAAAGAATATTCTCCCTTCAACTCTTTCTGCCAGTTATCTTCTTTGTTTTGAAGTCTGTAGCAAAGTGGTGTCTTCAGCTGAAGGTCTATGCTGTTTTTACGTATATAACTTAGTGCACTGTAGTTCTAATCAGATGTTTGTAGCAAGTTAAAAACTGTATCATAATTTTTGTCTAATGAATGGTATATATTGATTTGATACCATTTTCTTCTGTGGTTGTCCAAAAAGATTTCTTCTGACACTTTGTTATTTTGAAACATATATACACAAGTATTTTGTTCTAATAATATTAAATCCATTATTTCTAGGGATTATAGAAAAGAAAGAAATGCAGTAATAACATAAATGTAGCAAACAAGCCAAATGTCTCTCTCCATCTTCCCCATCCTATTATTGTCATACAAACATAATCAGGACTAGGACAGGTAAAGACACACAATTAAGACTCTTCTGGTTCATGAACACATTGACTAGAAATGGTAAATGCATTGTATACTTTTTCTTAGGTGTCCATGCAGTCCTTGGTCTTACCTTACTATTTTAAAATACTACCTTTGAGCTGTGGGGGTTTTTTAAACCACTCCTTTTAAAACAAAAGCATAAAAACAAACAAACAAAACTTAACCAATAGCATCCTAAAAACAGACAGATGAAGGGGTATTTCACTGAATTAATTTTGTTCCTGGAGGACTAACTTCTAGTCAGAGAGTAGAGTTTGCAAAGAACACCTATCAGAGTATCTGCTGTAAAATAGAAACCAGTTAATGGGAACATCTGAAGGAGAAACAAATGATGGGAGAAGTTAGATACCCCTCACCCCCATACCACCTCCAAAAACACCCCCTTACATTATGGGATGTTCTACCCACATGGAAAAACCTTCTTTTCCATAGTTCTGTATTTATTTAAGAGGTACATTGGCTCTTAAATATCTCTGAAATTAACTGCAACTCCTCAGAATGGCTGTAGGTATAATTATAGATTGAAGAACCATAATTACTGCACTGCAGAATCTTAAGAAAAAATATGAACTATGAAATATCTTTACTAAGTTTACTTCTGAAAAAAAAATTCTGTATGTTTGTATTTATTAATAGTATTTAAAATTCAAATATACCTATAAATGGCACTAAAAGTTGTATTGGAAGAGTAGTAGTTGTATTGGAAGAGGTAAATAATGAATAAAGTTCTATATGCCAAGGTACTGCAAAATTCTCATTAGAAATAATTGCTTTGTGACTATCAATCAGTGAAACTTTGCAATATTTCTATGAATAGAGAAGTGATAATCTGTTGCTTCATTTCAACTACTTTGTTAGTATGAAGTCTGTTTGATGAAGCCAATGACAATATATGGAAAGGAAATAAGAAGTCTGTGTTACCACTTCAGTCTTAGAAGAACACAGTAATTAGATAGTGAGAGTTTGATTTTGTTTATAAAACTCGTTTAGATACTAACTCTAAAAATGAATCTCACTTCTCTTTTAATATAATTATTTCTTCAGAGCTCATGTATATCTTTACAACTAAACCAAAATTCATGAGTAGGGTAGGCTAAAGGAAAAGTGTATGTTAAGTTATACAGTAAGGAGAAAGGACTGTTTATGGCATAATCCCTCTCCAGACAAATACTGCAGTTATTAAAAGATGCCTGGAAGCAGAAGTGTAGAAGACTCTCATATTTCACAATAAATGTGTAGTTGAATTCACGGCATGCTAGAATCCATGAAGAACAGGCAGAGGGTAAGGGCTCAATGCAAGTGTGTACCTTTCTTTGAGTTCCTTCAACAACAAGAATGCAGTTACTCAGTAAGGGAGCATGGAATAGGCTTCCATACCTTTCAGTTTTTTGAAATCATTGTAAGTATTTATTTTAAATGAAAAATAAAGAATAATTTCAGGTTAAAACTTAGTCTTAATAAATGTAAAACCCAAATCTTGTAGCTTGTCCAAGAATGATTATTCAACGTATGTGTGATGGTATTTGGAGCAGACTTGTAATTAATTGCACAAACTTTGAGAAAATGTGAAACTAGAATTAAAAAAAAGAACATTAAATTGTTTTACATTATGAACCATGGACACTCATCAACTTTCCTGGTGTTCATATTTCTGTTACAGTAATTCTCACTGTGTTTAGCTTTTTAATTTTAAAATCTTCCTTAAAGATTACAGTTTCCTGAAGAATGACTCTTTTTATTTTAAAAGCAGCAGAATCAAGATATTTTTGTTTGCTGAAATTAGTAACTGATGTCAAGTATTTGAAAGGAAATGTATAAAAATGAATGAATACTTCTTCCATATATGTTTATTTGTTCTTCTCTTTGGTAGAAATTATATCTGACCAACTAATTCATCATTAATTCTTTCACATAAGTTATGGTTTAATGTTTATTATGTTTGCAAGTTTCAGTGAACATAAGGTTTAATTTTAAATGAAACCATTAGAATGTGTGAGTTATTTTCAGTCACTGTGAGTGTATTTGCATCTCCTTAAATTTACCATTCTTAAAGGATGTAATCTGTGTGAGAGAGAAAAGGAACTATTTTCAACTGTAGCATAGAGAAAAACCCATCCTATGGGGACATGCTTCAACATTTCCATCTGTTTGAGACTGACAGATTGAAAAATCTCTTGCCATTTTTGAATACTTTTGTCAGAGAATAATTGAAATTGTCTGTTACACAACCTTCAAGATCAAATAGTGACATATTTAGAGTCTATTTTGTTATCCCCCGCCATAGATGGTAATATTAAAGGAAACATCCATTCTGATTTTCTTTTAATTTACTGGCAGAGTAGTGTTTCTCCCTCTGAATTTTACCATCATCAGCTGGCACTAACCAGGCATTTTCAAGTTTTACCTCATTCAGTGTACATTTTACATAATTCAGATCACTTTCTACACATTCAGTAATGCAATTCTGTATTTTTTGGTACTTCTAGATAATTTAATTGATAAATTGAAAGTAATGCACTGAACAATTAATTATTCCATTTTGAACTCTGAAATAACAAGAAACTATTCCAAAGACTTTGATATTTCCATTTGTTAGGAATATGTGACCAGATAAAATCATGACCAATACCATTCCTGCTATAATACTGCTAAACAGTGATTTCCTGAGAATATAGTGTTGTCAAGAATGACTACAGATATTACTTTCCTACTGTTCTCTAAGCCTAACTGAAGGAATAGAGGAAGGAATTGAGAATTTAACATAAAAATGTGTTACTGAAATACTAATTATTGAGTGAATAAACTTTGAAACCAGAGTCCTAAGCAGATTTAAGATTTACATTTCTAGGTCTTACAGGCCTTTCATTTCTAAGAGTTCACTTGGAACATGAGTGAAAGTAAATAAGTTTCCTACAAGATATAATGCCATTGAGCTTGATCTAAGGTGGATTTTTTTCATCTTGAAACTTATATTGCTAAAGACAGCAAATAATAAAATGCAGAATGCAGAACTGCTTCAGTGTCCTTGTTACATTTATCACAAGTACCTTTTAAGATAAACAATGGAAAATGTGACTAAAAATTTGCTTTAGGAACAAACTACCAGCTCTGGTGAAATGAACTCTTGAGTAAACCTGTAGCTTTGTAGACTACAAAATCATGAGTATTCTAATGTTTATATTGGTCTTGCGTTTCATTTCCACTTTGCGGATGGTACTGTGTTTTGTTTTTTCTCTTTTTTCAGTTCTCTCTACTGTACACTGGGATAACCTGAAAGAAAACACTTTAGTCTTATGTATTTCCTATTTGAATACCAGTTTGCATAAATTATGAGCTAAATATTTCATTTGTCGCACTAATAAGGGCAGACAATGACATAATACAAAAGCCTATGGTATAAGATACATTAATTTCTTATTGTCTTAGCAGAGACATTGACTTATGTTTTGAGTACCTATAATGCTTGTGAGAGCTACTGGATAAATATGCTTGGATACTACCACAGCTTTTTGGCAAATGGTTAATTTTTGACAATGGTTAATCACAAGAAGAGAACATTGGAAGCAGAAGGGGACGTCCATTTTCACTGCAAGCATCTTAATTATATTTTAGGGTAAGACAGTCCACATGCAAGATCAATCTTTAATCTGATCTGTTCATATTGTTTAGCGGAATGCATCTTGAGTATCAAGGCATCAGGTTAGAAGATACTACAAAAATTAAAGGAATTAAGATGATTACTTGATTAAAAAAAAGTTCCTGCATACTTTAATATATTAGTTCTAGCCAAAATTGTTATCTTCCACTCACAAGTGAAAAAAACTCCAATCAAACCAAACAAAAACCAGAACCACAAACAAAGAAAACAGAATCAGTAAAAAGTGGCAAGAATGTTGACACTATTTTATGACAAAAGTTGGTATTTTCCTTCCAGTTAAATGTACATTGCTATGTCAGCTTCTAGATTTCAGGTAAGTGCAGAACAAATGAGACAAAGAATGGAACAAAAAGCCAGGGAAAATGAATCATGGTCAGTTTGTTCCCTGAAGCTGATGTAGGATGCCAACAGTGACAACTTCATTTGCTGTACTTCATTGATGACCTGTCAGTATTGCTTTTGGGACAGAGATCTAGATGTAATGACCGTGCTGAAGATGGTTCTGTTTTTTTATTCCTGCTTTGTATTTACATAAAGAGAGGATAAACACTCAAGGTCAGGCAACCTGATCTAGTTGAAAGTGTCCCTGATCACTGCAGGGGGGTTGGAATAGTTGACTTTTAAAGGTCTCTTCCAACTCAAACCATTTGACGATTCTGTGATGGCTTTCCAGATGCAAACAGAGCAAAACAGAAGAAGAGGCCTGAGTTCCAGGCTTATTCCTGCTAGTCCTGCTGCACTGTGTTACATTATTGGGGAAGATGTCCTCAAGAAGAAAAGTTGTTTTCTTCCTGATTAGTTAGCACATCAGTTGAAAATGAGATTTGTGTGAGCCATTGCAGAGAATGCTGTATGGAGACAGTTGCTGTTATGACCTTAATCATTATACTACTAGGTAAAAAAGGTATAATATATGCATATGCACAGAGCAATATTTTGTTCTGTAAGTACACACTTGTGATAATGATAAACTCAATAAAACTGTTTTTTTGATAAAGTTTTGGTTTTTTGATGACACATATGGAGCTAAATCGGGCTCCACATTTTGCTGTTCTTCTCATGTCTTGCATCAAAAATTCTGTGGATCACTAAGACAAAAAGATAAGTCATGCAAAATCTACTGTGGGCTTTGAAAGCCGTAACTATGGCTAGGCAGGTGAGACATAGACACTATATTGTGCTGTGATTTGCCACCTATATAATGACTGATTCCTGTATATGGCTTAACCCAGTAAGACACCAAACAACTTGTGAAAGATATTAATTCATTAATTAATGCTTAGTAGCTCAGTAAAAGTTTAAGATAATCCTCAATTTCTGTGTTAGGCTTTTAATACTTTAATAGAGAAGAAATAAGCACGCTACCCTTAGCAAAAATAGTCATACAAAAAGTTCATTACAATTTAAATAACTTCCCAATAAAAAAAAGAATAAGCATATATCTCATAGGCTGTAATTGTTTCAATATTTATTCTCTTTTTCTGCTTCTAATTCCTTTTGTTGTCTCCTTCAGAACCTTCCTAATGGCAATATACATAGCGGCAGTGGAATCTAGGCAAAATTAATTCTAGTTTTTCTTTACCAGTATCTATGAAACTTCCTATTTTTTTCTCCAAGGAAATTTGGCAGAACTAGTATTAATTTACACAGAAAAAATAATTAGACTGTATAGCTAAGAGGATTACATAAGTTAGCAGTGAATCCCTGAAAAAACATTTATGGACAAAGGATAATGTGTTGTAATTTTAAAATGTTACACAGTGCTCTGAGAAGCCTTCCAGGTTTGTTTTAATGGGTGTATAGGAGCTACAATTTTAAAATGTGCTCAGATGCATCTGATTTTATCACAGAATCATAGAATATACTGAGTTGGAAGGGACCCATCATGTCTGTTTAATATCTTTATTGATGATCTGGATGAGGGAGTTGAGTGTACCATTAGCAAGTTTGCAGATGACAGCAAGTTAGGGGGGTGTGTTGATCTGGCAGAAGGCAGGAGGGCTCTGCACAGGGACCTGGACAAGCTGGAGAGACAGTCTGATTCCAACAGGATGAGGTTCAACAAGGTCAAGTGCCGGGTCCTGCACTTTGGCCACAACAACCCCCTGCATCGCTACAGGCTGGGGACAGAGTGGCTGGAGAGCAACCAGGCGGAAAGGGACCTGGGAGTTTGGATTGACAGGAAGCTGAACGGGAGCCAGCAGTGTGCCCAGGTGGCCAAGAGGGCCAATGGCATCCTGGCCTGTATCAGGAACAGTGTGGCTAACATGCAGGGAAGAGATTCTTCCCCTGTACTCAGCACTGGTGAGGCCACAGCTGGAGTAGTGTGTCCAGTTCTGGGCCCCTCAGATCAGGAAGGATGTGGAGGTGCTGGAGCAGGTCCAGAGAAGAGCAACAAGGCTGGTGAAGGGACTCAAGCACAAGTGCTATGAGGAGAGGTTGAGGGAGCTGGGGTTGTTTAGCCTAGAGGAGACTGAGGGGAGACCTCAACTCTCTACAGCTCCCTGACAGGAGGTTGTAGCCAGGTGGGGGTTGGTCTCTTCTCCCAGGCAGCTCTAAGTAAGACAAGAGGACATAGTCTTAAGCTCTGCCAGGGGAGATTTAGGTTGGATATTAGGAAGAAATTCTTTACAGAGAGAGTGATCAGACATTGGAATGGGCTGCCCAGGGAAGTGATGGATTCACCGTCCCTGGAGGTTTTAAGATGAGATTGGATGTGGCACTTAGTGCCATGGTCTAGTAACCACAGCGGTGTTGGATCAAGGGTTGGACTTGATGATCTTGGAGGTCTTTTCCAATCCAGTTGATTCTATGATTCTGTGATCATCGAGTCCAACTCCTGGCCCTGCACAGGACACCCCAAGAGTCACACCATGTACCTGAGAGCATTGTCTAAACAGTTCTTGAACTCTGTCAGTCTTGCTGCTGTGACCATTTCCCTGGGGAACCTATTCCACTGCTCAACCACCCTTTAGGTGAAATACCTTTTCCTGATATCCAAGCTAGACCTCCATTGACTCTGACTCATGATCAATATATTTGTGAAAACAGATCAAACTTCAGGTTTATTGTTATCTTGTGTGCTCACTGTATGGCATGTACCATGGAACTGAAAGTAGGGCTAAGCTGCATCTTTGTAGCAATACCACTCTGAATTTAGAGATATAAGTTCTTTCTTTTAGAGCTGTTACATTCATATAGGCAAAAAATGGTGAAAATGCTTAAAGTTTTAAATAGTGGAGGAAATACAATATACTGTGCTATGTGCTACTAGAAGAGAGTTGGAAGAGTTAGCTTATTCATGTTGCAGTCTATCTGCACTGAGAAGTGTAGTAAAAAATGGTCTTTCCTAGACCTCAATCATGTACAAAAAGAGTTAACCAGTCAAGGATTTATCTCATGAATTATACATGATAATAAGTAATCTCAAATCTCTTGTAGGCTGGAAATTGATACTAGGAGTCAGGAACTTCTGTGGACTTTTTCTGGATGTGAACAAAATTCAAGTAAGCAATTTGTAGCTGGCAGACAAAGTGATGTGTAAAGCAGTTACTTAATTTGACCTTGTTAATATCAACAATCTACTGAGCTCTAGGTGTAAAGTCACATTATATCTATCAATTAACTTCTGGATCCTGAATTTTTCAGTTTCAAATGCTGTATTGACTGTTCATGAAATCACAGAATATGCTGAGTTGGAAGGGACCCATAAGGATCACTGAGTCCAACTCCTGGCCCTGCACAGGATCATCCCCAGGAGTCACACCATGTGCCTGAGAGTATCATCTAAATTCTTCTTGAACTCTGTCAGGCTTTGTGCTGTGACCACTGCCCTGAGGAGCCTGTTCAGTGCCCAACCAGCCTCTGGGGGAAGAACCTCTTTCTAATATATAACCTAAACCTCTCCTGACACCTTCCAGGAATGGCCTTCCAACTTCAGGCCATTCCCTTGGGTCCTTGTCACTGGTCACCACAGAGAAGAAATCAGTGCCTTCTCCTCCTCTTCCCCTTACAAGGAAGTTGTAACTGCAGTGAGGTCTCCCCTCAGTCTTCTCCAGGCTAAACAGACCAAGTGCCCTCAGTTGCTCTTCGCACAGCTTCCCCTCAAGGCCTCTCACCATCTTCATTGCCCTCCTTTGGACACTCTCTAATGGCTTAATATCTTTCTTATATTGTGGTGCCCAAAACTGCCCCAGTATTCCAGGTGAGGCCACGCCAGTGCAGAGCAGAGTGGGACAATCCTCTCCCTCACCCGGTTGGCAATGCTGGGCCTGATGTCCCCCTGGACATGGTTGGCCCTCCTGGTTGCCAAGGCACTGATGACTCATATTCAACTTACCATTCACCAGGATCCCCAGGTCCTTTTGCCAGCATTGCTTTCCAGCATTTTCTGGATCAGTTTTCCATCTCATTCCCCTGTCTGTCCATACATCCAGTGTTGTCCCATGCTGATGTAGAATCTGGCACTTTACCCTTGTTGGACTTCCTATGGTTGGTGGTTGCCCATCTTTCTAATTTGTAAAGATCTCCCTGCAGGGCCTCCTGCCTTTGAGAGAGTCAACAGCTCCTGCCAGTTTTGTGTCATCTGCAAACTTGCTCAGTGTCCCTTCCAGTCCTGTGTCCAAGTCATTTATGAAGATGTTGAAGAGCACAGGTCCTAAGATGGAGCCCTGTGTTATCCCACTAGTGACAGGTCACCAGTCTCATGTCACCCCAGTCACTGTTACCCTCTGTGTTCGACCTGGGAGCCAATTGCTCATCCACCACATGATGTGTTTATCCAGCTCTGTGCTGGACATTTTGTCCAGAAGGATGCTGTGACAGTACCAAGAGCTTTACTGAAATCCAAAAAGATTACATCAACAGGCTTCTCTTGATCAGCTAGGTGGGTTACCTTGTCGTAAAAGGAAATCAGGTTTGATAAGCAGGACTTTGCTCTCCTGAAGCTGTGCTGGCTGTGACCAATGGCTTGTGTTGTCTTTCAGGTGTTTCTCAATACTTCCCAGAATAATCTTCTCCACAAATTTACCAGGCACTGAAGTGAGACTGACAGGCCTGTAGTTTCCAGGGTCCCTCTTCTTGTCCTTCTTGAAAATCAGGACAATGTTCACCACCTTCCAGTCAACTGAGACCTCTCCAGATTTCCAAAACCGCTCAAAAATGATCCCTAGAGGTGAATCACATCAGGCTCCACAGATTTGTAGGGATCCACTTGGAGAAGCAGATCCCACACAGTTTCAGGGTTGACTGGGATTTGATCATTCTCACAGTCATAGTCTTCTAGCTCAGGGCACTGAGATCCCCTTGGTCCATAATCCATTCTCCTGATCATAAAAACACTATACCTTAAACGGAATGCAAGTATTATAAATACAACATAAAGGACTTCTTGGTCTGTTGGTACAAAATGACTGAGAAAAGTATGACTTAGTAGATATCTCCAGTTTAGAGTCTATGAATTAAAATAAGGGTAGAATCGTGGTGTTCCATCTACATTGGATTCAAAGCTGAAGGGCTCTTCTCTTGGTGGGAGACACCTGCAGCCTTGTCTGGGAAAAGAACTTTGTCTGCATTAATGCTGGAAGCCATTTTTAGATGTTATTAGTTCTCTTTGTGGATGCATTGGGGTCAGAGATGTGCAAGGGTCATAATCCTAGAGCTGGTGATTAAAGTTATGGTTATGTTAAGTTTAGTCAAGATTTTACAGTAGGTAGGAAAAGTAAAAACAGGTGTTGCCTCATTGGAAGAAACAAGGAAAATACTGTAATGTTTCTTTAGCAGAAGTTGAAAGAGTCAGAAAAGGACAAGATAAGACAAAGATGTATGCACTTCAGGGTAGTGAAGAGACAGTTGCTGATGCTGGAAATCATACAGATAAGTCAGTAAAACAATTGTTTGGTGCATCTTATTGAGTCAACCCATGGGTCAGAAGAAGCAAAGACCTGTATTAACTCTCTAGCCTGAGTTAAGAAATATTCTCTATTCTTGGCTTCATCAGCATCAATGAGCATTGCAAGGATGAAATTCTGAGAAACACTATTATCATTGGATTTAGGTTAGGAAGGCATACAGGTGTGACCAGAATTCAGTTCTAGCTGGGAAGACTAAGGTACTTCAGGATTTAATTGAAACTAGGATATTGATTGATCCCAGGTAGCTGGAACTGCTGGCTGATAACCATTAAGATGAAAAAAACATAATAGTGCCCAATAATTTTTAATGACATGGAACAAAGTCCCTGAAGCAAGTCTTATCTGAAGATGAGAAAAAAAATCAATAGAGCAGCTTGATGAGGTTTGTTTGGGGTACTTGAGTGCACGGTCAGTTGTATTCTAAATGCCATAAATATGTTAACACCTCTCCAGAGATGAAATTGATATCTTTATTGCTAATCTCTAGGGATTTAATTTAGTTTATTATTTTATTGACTTTAAGAAAACTGTTACTTATATTTAAGTAAATATATCTGAATTATATTTATGTATTACTTTTACAAGATTAGGTCTGGTGGTCTGAATATCAAATGACAGTTTCTAGGCAGACTGCAAAAGGTCCTTGGATAATGGAATACTGATATTATTGTGTAGGCACACAGGTAGAGTTTTTACATGCCTGCAAACCCCTTAACAATCAGGTGTTGTTGATGAACAGCTGGAAGTTGGGGGTTTTGTTTCTGTGGCATTAGGAAGACCTTTCACATTTCCATTAAAACCTTTTAGAATCTTTGATCCTTTGACAATATCAAACAAATGATCAAATATGCTTTCTTGTGCAGGCTCTAATCTTTCTCTCTGTTTATCTTTTTAAAAAGTCTTTCATTACAGGTCTGCTTTTCTGGGGTATTTTTATCACATAACTGGAGTATGTCAATGATCAGCACGAGCTTCATTTCATTTCATTCTTCATGATAATCAACCTCTTGGCAAATGAGAAATTTCTAACATGTCTATGGTTTTGCAAATAATGCAAATAATGCTAGTCCTCTATTTACTTCAGGTGATGTTCTTATACTGCCTGTTACTCTTTTCTCTAGAATACATAATCTGCTTGCATATAATCATCTTTTTGCAGTTTTAAGAAATGTCAAATATTGTGCCCAATATCAAATGCACTGTGATGGTAGTCACTGTTTATAAAGACGAGACGTGTTAAATTGTAGAATCTTAGCAATATTTTCAGCTGCATGCTGCTCAAATGAAACACTGAGGACTTCATGAGACCAAAAATACAGAAATAGATGTCTCCTTTCTGGATGTGTCTATTTACGGTAGAAATTACGTAAGAATCCAGTACATAAAGATTAATTTTATTTCTACTTTTTTGGCATCCAAATTTTCTGAATTTGAAAAACTCCAGAGGATAAATTATTAGAACAATCTACTTTGTTAGAAAATCAAGCAAAACTACTGTTGGGTCTTTATTAAACCATATATCTTGCTTATACCTCAGTATGTTACCAGTTCTATCTGGAACGGTTTAAGAATGTTAATTGAACTTTATTAGTTTCCTAAGATAATACTGAATGCAAAACTAATCCTGCTGATTGACTACTATTGCAAGTTGTGTTGAAAACTTAGCCGGAGACTTTTTCCTCTTAATATGGTAAATGTTAGGCCATTCAGGCTTATGGATTGCTGAATTTGTCTTTTAAATTCTAAAACACAAAGTGAAACTTAAAGCAAAACTAGCACCATGTCTTTGAAAATTTCACAGTGCACATGCATGGAAAATTGTCATCTTCTCTTCAGGCTGCAAAATTTCAACAGTTTCCCTTGGGCAAACTTGAAACTGAAAAGGCCTATGACATAAATCCTAAATGTGTTTAGACATGTTAACCTGATAACAATTTTCCTGTGTGACTTTTGTTTTGTGTTAGTCTGACGAATTCCTTCAGTCTATCATAATTGTATTACCATGCATATTCACAAGGCATAATGTGTCACCATGATTTGCTTGGTTTTTTTTTCCGAAATTTTAGACCTTGCTAATTTTACTTAAAATTTATTTTATGGTTTGATAAATAATGGTTCCAAAATATTCTACACGTTTGATAGCTTTTTTAATAAAACTGGTGAATAATAGTAGTTGAATATTATCTACATTTATTCACTTTTTTTCAAAAAAATACTGCTGTGTGTTTATGGTTTTTTAAACTGAGGTATATCAAATAATTGCAGTACCTTTACATTTCATAGTTGCGTGCCTCAAGGGATAGTTCAAAACAAATACAAACTCTTATCAAAAGTTTATGATATTTGTGTAAGGGGGGGAAAAAAAGAATGTTTACAAGAGCATGCTGGATAATATTTTTGAATGCTTTGGATTTTGGTTCCTTCTTTGGGAGTAACATATACACTCTCATTTGACCTGTCACTGAAGTATGAATATACATATGTACTACTGGACACACAGAACATTCTGAATGTTAAAACACTTGTATTTTATAGAATATAAGATGACCGAAGTGTCAGCTGTTTCACTGTATGAGGCTGGAATAATTGTTTCCATATGGCACATGATAAAAAGCTGTTGCAAACAAGAGTTGATAAACTTACTGCTTTTATTCCAGATGGCCCCATTTCTGCATCTGCATTAACATTAAAAATTTAAGTGTTTTCTTTGAGAATCAGCTAAACAGTGTCCTGGGAGCCAGAAATGTCTTCTGGGCTAATTTTCCTACTGCAGTTTGTCTCCTTCTGTCTCCAGAATAATTCCATTACTATATTTTTTTAATTTATTTTTTATATGTTCCCTTACAGTGTTTAACTCTTTAGGTTGGGGAACCATTCGTGAACAGACATTGTGTGCTGGTTTAAAGGTAAACTGGCAGGGGAAATGAACCCAACTCAAAAGAGAGATTATAAATCAGAATAACAATTTAATAAAATAATACAATAAGTACGATTACACAGAAAAACAATTGGTTTTAACCCACAAAACCCAATAGTATAACCCAGGACCCTGGGGCATGAACAGAATGGTGTTCTTTGGGCCCCCTGAATCCAAAGTAAAAGGAGAGGGGAAAACCTGTTGCTGAGAGTGCTGTTGCAGTCTGGTCAAGAGTGGTGATTGCAGTCCGGTCGAGAGTGGTGATTGCAGTCTGATTGAAGAGTGGTGGTTGCAGTTCAGTCGAGAGTGTTGGCTGCCGTTTGGTTGAGAGCAGTGATCTGCAGTCTTCCTCTGGATCCCACAAGTGGTTAAAAAAGTTCCAAGACTCCAAGATTATATATTCTCCAGTTCAGGCAGGAATGCTCAGTACTTCCCTCAGGGTGGGGAGTTCCACAATGGGTATGAGGACAGGAGGCACCCTCCTGTCTCACAGGTCTCTTAACACCTATTTTATAGCCTGAGGAGTCAGGCTGCTCTGGGCAGAGGGTGTAAATGCTCTATTGGTAACAGTTTCCGGGAAATGGCATGGAAGGCTATAGAATACACAGTTTTGGGTTACACCCATCCAGTGATGAACTGGTACCAGCTGTTCCAACTAGGACACATTGGAACAAGAAGTTTACATACAGTTTATATCCAGACTTTTAGTAAAGATGCATTTTAGATAAGTTAACCCCAAATTTCTAACCAAAAGGAAACATAAAGGCTGAATAAATATTTAAGTGAATTCAGTCTTAGTATATAGAAAACAGAGGTAAATTACTCAGA